AATTCGATCAAAGTTTTTGAATCATTTGAAATAATATACAAACGATTATTAGATGTAATTATACTTAAATAACAATCAATAGGTAATTGAATAAGATTTTTTAAATTCAATGAATTAATATCTATTTGAAAAATTTGTTTTGTTTGTAAACAAATAAGAATAAATGATGATTGAAATGAATGAATTTGAAGTTTTTTATGTTCAAATGTATTTGTTGTCCATAATAATTTTGATGAATTTAAACAATATATTGATAAAATATTTTTTTCATCAACAAATAAAATATGAGATGATGTTTTTGTAAAATAATAATCAATTATTGAATGAATTGAAAGTTTTAAATCAAGAATATTATTATCATTTAGTGTATAGATTTTTAATGAACTAGAAAAATTATTTAATATTTGAATAATAATAATAATAATAATAATAAATGTTATTTTACATACTTATCATCATCTTTAATTGTTAAGAATTGATCTGAATGTATACTTAGTATTTGACCAATTGGTTGAGATGGAACGAAAGATTTTGATGAATCCAAATAAGTTAACATTGTTGCATTATATTTATAAATATTATTACTATCTGAACAATAGATAGTAATACCATCGAACCAATCTTTTATAAAATATAAAGAATAGTTGTGTTAGCACAATTTCTGCAGGATTAAAATATAAGTACGATGCAGCTGCTGTTGTAAATCACAGGAAGACTGCTTTACTCTGTCGATTTTAGGATACATTTCTTCGTCATCCTTTTACTTAATTCTCCAGAAATACAATAAGAATGTAGTTCATATACGATCTGTGATCGTATATCAATAACGTCTATCTCGGATTGTGACACGAGAGTGGTGCTTAGGTATCTGTAACGATCTGTGGGGTGGGAGTAGAGCCCATTGGGTTCGGGTTCAGGAATTCTTGGACCCGATGGGCTCTAGGTGGAGGCACCAATTTTTTACCCTTATACTTCAACATTCTTTTTAGATCATGTTTTAAAAAATCTTTATATATATATTATTTTTCAGAAGAAAATCCACATACTTGCTATAAATACACATTGATCGATAGATATATCAAGTTGAAGATGAGTTAATTGTCGATAAATATGATTTTGTTGTTCTTTGTCATAACGCCATTCATAAATATCAAGAATATTCTTTATTTTATTAATACAAGCTAAAAAATTAGTTTGATTTTCAAATTCTAATGCCGAATAATAATCATGTACTACATCATATTCAATTGATGATTGAATTTGAAATGGTTTAAAAATATTTTCTTCATATAATGGATGAAATATCATAAGAGATGTTGATGTTAACCATGCAATTGATTTACTTTGTGAAAGATAAATAACAGATATAGGTGAAGAAATAAAATCAATATTATTAATAATTTTTTTTGAATTATTATTATTATCTTTATCATAAATAATTAATGAAGTTTGTGAACAATTAAATGAATAATAAAATTCATTATGAATATCAATAAGTATATGATGATTATAATTATTAATATTTTCATTAGTAATTCGAATTGAATTAAATTGAAAATCTTTATCTAATATAAAATATGAAATTATTGAATTTTCTTTTAAAGTTACTTTAATAATTAAATTTTGAAAAGTACAATCTTCAATAATATTATCATGAAAATTATATTTTGATATGAGAATATTATTTAAACAATTCCATAATTCTAATGAATTATTTAATGATGAAATAATAAGAATTATTTCATTATTAATAAATGAAATTAATTTTTTACATGAAATTTCCATAGATATTTCTTTTGTTTGACAATTCACTATTATCATTGATGAATTTGATGTAAGACAACATACATATGGATATTTACATAAAAATGAAATTAATTTTTCATTGATTTCAGTTTTTTTATTTAATATATCAAAATAATTTGTTCTCAATAGACCATAATAATTATAACAAAATACATATAATTTATTAATAGTTAAAATAAATAAATAACTTGTAGCAATTTTTAAAGAAATAATATTTGATAATGAACATTTTGCTAAACATTGTTGTCGTTCTTCATTTGTTATTAATTGAAGTGGACAATGATTTATACATTGTTCAAGTAAATTATATGTTAATATAGGTAATTGATTTAGAAATGGAAATAAACGATAAATTAATTCAAATGATAAATTATTTGAATATTGATCAAGTATTAATGATGATGTTTCAAATTGTTTTAACAGATATCGTAATTCACCATTTGGATCATGAGCTCCAATTGAAAATTCATATAGTAAATCAGACATTTTATATTCATCACAAAGAAGATATGCTGTTAAAAAATCATAATTAAATATAGTCCATTGATGAGCAAAATCATAACGATTTATATTGATATATAATTGATGTAAACGACGAAGATTATATTGATTTAATTTCTTTTGTTTTAAAGGTTTTTGTTCAGTTAAACAACGATTGACAGATATTATCATTGTTGATAATTTATATTTATTTACTAATTTCGGTGAATAACTCATATCAAATATTGTTTTATATTGATTAGCAAAATATTCTAGACGAATTTTTTCCATGATTTTCTCTTCTTGCTTATCGAACATTATTTGTTTGATATTCATTGATTGATAATATTGAAAACTACGATGATAACTATGAACAAAAATTAGAAAAGAAAATTATATAGTTAGAGATACCATATATCAATGTTAACAGCAATTATACATAAAATAAACCAATACCAATACTAAAACGTATTAATATATCATGTGCGCGCTCTGTACAACCACAGAGAAGCACTACAAACGATGCAACTTTCAACAAACCAATCGAATACAAATAAAATTAATTCAAAAATCATATTAATATTAGTGAAAACGGGATTTCTCTATTATATTTTCTTTTGCACTTCTGATTATAGTAAAAAAAAAAGAACACAAAATAAAGAAATATACAATGCAATTTTGGATTAATCCTTTGAGTACGGGATTATTTTTGTATACTAAAGTTTATTATAATTTGAAATTAACATTTATTTTGCAAAAAATATATGGTTCAAAATGCTTTTAGAGTGTGATAGTCTTTAAAACAATCCGTAAGACACAACCCTACATCACATTCAATACATTCATACGAAGTATCTCTCTTCGACTTGAGTCTCGTCACAGTATTAGGACAAACGTAACATTTTCTCCTTGGATTTACTTGATTTACTGTTGATGTAATGCGCGAAGGAAAATATCATACTGTGAGTCGAAATGGCTGTCAGAAGGTGGTCGATCAATTGAACTTCGCACCTGACTACTATATATTTCTCGAATCATCTCAAGTTGATAAGTAGTCAAACGAAGATTGACATTTTTCTTCAATTTATATAAAACATATGCATTATTAATTGTAGGATCTACCAAATGAAAGAAGAAATTTTTTGCATCACTTTACTAATCGACGGATGCACGCTGAGAAACTTATTTACATGTCATATTTATCGACCACACCTCTGTTCTCATTATACTCTTTCACACAAAGAGGCTTTATCTTCTGCTGTTTCGTTGCAAAGTGAACTTTCCCGAATGGAGCCATAATTAGTTCATGAAGTGTCGATGATATCGTGATATCATGTTTATCATTCCACTGTAATGCGAGTAAATTGTCAGTGTGATAAAAAAACTTGCGCGCCAGGTTTCTCTATCTCTTCAAAGATCGGTTAATCACCTCGATTGTTCTTAATAGTTTCACATGCTCCTGTTTTATGCTGATGGAGACTCTTGAACGATTTTCGTAACACGAAATATCCTTTCGAGAGCGATGGCTCTTTCTCGAGAAATGTCGTCAAATTAGCTCATGTTCTAACTCATTAAAATCGGGTGCTAATTGCCAGAAGTATTAAGGGGCAACGAATAATCATCGGTAGATATAGATAATGTTAACCGCACAAAATGTCTTAAATGCAAATACTTCTGCGATTCATATCATTAAATAATCAACAGATCGTGTTTTTTCAAGTTATTCAAATCCCAAAATATCAGAATGCGAATTCGCATCGCTCGTATTCAAAGGGTGAAATTGAAAAATTTCACATTTCTAAATCAATTTTCTAACTTACAAATAAATACAAGGAATATTGTCGATATCTTTTTCAATTAAATATTTATGCATATCATTTCTAATACGAATCCATAAAGTAGATGGTAATCGAAATAATTTAAATGGTGGTAAATAATGAACAAAAACTGATTGTAAAACTTCATCATCCAATGAAAGAATATCTTCTATTTCGAGTTCACTTAATCCACCTGATAATTGAAGATATTGCATTGAACGTCGAAATAAAATTTCGCCATGTTTCAGTCCTAATTGATTATATAAATATTCAATAGCATCACGTGTATTTCTTATAGCTAAAAATACTTGATCAGGCATTTGATTAAATGAATGCCATGTTAATGTTTGATCATATAGAAGTGAAAGAAAAAGTGGTGTTAGATAATGTTGTATACGAAATTTTTTTTTCAGCCATTCATGTTGTATAGATGTTAAACAACGTCGATCTTGTTCAAGCCAATAATTTAAAACTTGTTCAGCAAGATTTTCATTTAAGTTATTTATTTCAATTTCTATTATTTCATTTTTATAAATAGTTCTTAATTGTTGACGTATATCAATTGATTTTCTTTCAATTTCTATTTCTGAAATAGTTGAAATTATACATTTAATATTAGCCGATGAAAATTTTGTTGGTAACCATATTGATAAATTTTCTAAATCAGTTAATTGAAGTTGATCAATTGCATCAAAAAGAAGAATAAGATGTTCATTTTTTGGAATATACATTAAAATATTTTCAAGATTTTCTTTTACATTATCAAAATTTGTTGGTTTATTCAAATGATAAATAGTAGAAATCTGTTCAATAATTGATATTAATGGACGACGAATATCACTTGAAGATGGAGTTACACCCAAAAAACGTATTATAACAGATAAAGAATTCGTTTGTGTATAGTAAGTTGGAATCTACAAATTTATTTAATATATGAGAAAGACAAATTTCTACAATATATATTTGTAATTCTACTAAAACATAAGTCAATAGTATAGTTTTATGTTAACAGAAAATATATGATGGAACATCAAGATTTATATCATAATGTTTTTTGGAATATTTGAGCTGTAGATTTTCAAAACAGATACTTATTAAAATAATATACAACTATGAAATGATTTAAGTAGCTGATTGTTTTGTAACAACTTTTCTTTTTTTTTTTGCACTTTTCATGTAACTTATTTTTTGTTTTAATAGTATGCATTTAAATTTTTTTGTTATAACTAACGTTTTTTTCTATTGACATTTAATGACTCTTAGATTTTTTCGTTGTGTTACAGTCTATTTTCTTTCTGATAAATTTTACTATACTTTATACTTGAATGTCTATCATTGATGGATTATTTTTTGATATAATGATCAGTAGAAGTATACATTTTCTACAAGAAAGACTTTAGTCACTTCAAAATTAACTATTATTATTGAAAGATAAAATAACAGGAAATATATTGTGTGTAATATTTATTTTTCTATTCTTTTAATATTTTCATTTCATATTATTCAATGTTGACTAAGATATCATTTTAGAAATATCTCTAGAATTATCTTCTTGAAATCAAATTTAAATGTTTAATACGTAATTTTAGTAGTTCTCAATTCAAAAATAAAAACAATTTCATTATATTCTCTCTTTTTATTCATGCACATATGTCTAATCTTTCCTTTCTTTGCTCAAAACAAAAAAACAATCACAATAAATAAGCAGTCAAATGATATTTAAATAGCTATGAATATTTATTAAATATGTACGCTCATTCATTGAATAATGCTTCAAATGAAATAGCTATTTATTTAGAAAGATTGAAAAAAAATATACACCTAATTGTTTATTAAATAACTATAAATATTTATTGAATAGTGCTCGTAATCTTTGAATAGTTCTAAGGATTATATAGGTATTCAGTTAGAGATATAGACAAGCAATAAGTAACTGAATCTTGATTAAAATAAAGTGTATCATTAGCAAACTCTCTTACCATATCTCTACTCACTATCTTTATTACTATTGAGCACGTAAGATAATAAAGAATTCGACAGTGTATGAAAAAATTACTATGAATTATTGAAATCTATTATTCAAAATTGATTAATTACAAACCATCCAAAAAGTTCTATAAAAACCTTTGAAAACTTGAAGAACATAACTCTTACAGACTGCTGTCAAAAAACAATTTCTACTAGTCCAATAGGTTTCTCTAGAGTTATTAAATTTCAAAAATATTTGTCTAACTCCCGAGATATATGTGCCGACATCGTCTCGACTATCACCAGAAAGATTTATAAGAATAAACTGGACTAGTGAAGTTATGATAGAGTGTAGTAACTGTATTGCTGGAGATATTAGTTCCAAAAAACTTGCCAAAAGTTAGTTCATAGACAATTGTTGTCAAAATTCGAGCATAATAATTACTCAACTATGCCCACTTTCTTCAAATCATAAAAACGTATGTTCGATTGGCTGAGTTATAAGCATTCTTTCTTAATTCAAATACTTTTCTTTTTCTTACTTCGCTAACAAGTTTAGCCATAATTGATGATTTTCCAGTTCCTGATTCTCCAAGTAAAATGCAAGGACAATTGCTTGTTGACATTATGTAATTTTTAATCTTGAAAAAGAAATTTATGATGAATTAATTTAGTTTTCTTCATTAATTGAAAAATTTTACTTGTTCAAGAATATCTTGTCGAGGAAAATATCGTTGTGTTAATAAATTACATTGAATAGCATGTTCTAATATTTGATTATATAAAAAATTCTTTTGTTGTTTTTCATATTTTATCAAATGAAAATCAATTTGTGATTTAATTGCATGATAAAAATCTTCGAAAACTTGCGAAAAATATTTTATTCGATTGTTTTCATCATTCCATCGAATCTACTTGAATATATATATATATATGTATATAAATTTTTGATTTAAAATCGAATATGATAAATTACTCGATATGTATAAATATCTGATGAATCAATTGATTGATGAAGTAAATTTTTAATTTTTTCTAATAATTTTTTTGTTTCATCTGCATTTTCTATTTCACGATATTTTGAATCAAGTTCTTCTATATCAATTATTTCTCGAAAAAAACAAATTATTCGTCGAGATTTATTTATATTATTTTTTAATGCACGATAAATTTCTTTTGCTGTAACTAAAATAAATAAATATATAGATATGTTGAATTTTGTTTTATTTTTTGTTAAATACCTGATATAAAAAATTCATTTCGTTCATCTTTAGTTATTTTTCCTTGTTTATAACAAATATTAGCTGCTTTTCGTAAAATTAATTGTAATTTATTTTCTAATAATGTCCATTGTTGATTATCATCTATTGGTTGAAGAAAATATTTTTTTTCAAGATAATTTTCATCTAATTGATACATTTCTAATAGAATTTTTTTTTCTTCAATATCTACTGATAGACAATCTTCGAATAATTGAAATATACGCAAGGATATACATGTTGGAACAAGACGACTACCATATCGATGACTTAAGAGAATCTTTATATTAATAGAAAATATTAATGAGTTAGAATAATTTTCATAATTCTTACTACACAATTAGTTGCCATTGATAATCGACAACAACTATCAAGTTCTTGAAGACACATATCAACAGTTGAATGAGAACTTAATGCTGTTGATGGAATACCCCAACGCATATCTGAATACTAGAGGAAAAAAAGCTATTCGTGTAATTTCTATGCAATTGAAATATGAAACACTATGAAGCTACTGACATTGTAAAAGAAGGGATTAAGCAATATATTTTTCGATTTATGAATTCCTACCTACTGTTGATGCAAAATATTAATTGCAATATATGGCAGTGAGTATGAAAAAATAATAAGGAAACAACTATCATAATAATCCTGCAGTTGACTTGGATCTCGTGTTTATGTCTGTCACGTCTGCAGAAGGTGGTGAAGAGAGTGTGCTTAAAATTTTTACCCCTACGCTTCAACACTCCTATTAGATTGTACTTCACAAAAAAAACTAATGAGTGTAGTTTACTCGATTATATTCTTTCGTTTGAAAATATTCGAGTATGGAAATTTAATAAAGATGTATTTTAATTTGAAGAAAAAATATGAAAGAAATATTGTTTTATAAGTTAGAAACTTTTTTTTATTCAAAATAGGATATTTTTCATCAAATTACATGAAATTGAATATTGTATTTAGTGCGACAATACTTGCGTAATCGAGGATATACACGTTCAATAAGTCCATTGCGTTCATCAGTTGTATCTAACAATAACAAAGAATAGTAGTCATTGTATATGGTATTGAAATCTGGTCTCATAGCAACTTACCAGAAAATGTTGAACTAACAAATATACGTACTGAATTTAATTTACGATCTCCTACATCATCAAATCGACCTCGATAGAATTGTTCGTTTTCCATTTGTTTTATTATTACGATTGATTATAAAAAGCAAACATGAATAAATACAAGATTGTTTTTAGTATTTATTACCATGAGTTAAGTTTATTATGTAAGCTATGACAATAATCGTCATTTTCTTTTTTTTCTTTTTCTTTCAAAATGCTGCGTATGATGCTGTCTTATATTTCTTTTTCTTTCTTGGTGTCATTTTTTTTTAATGTGCACACACGTGTCACGGTAGGTAAGAAGAATTGTCGTTTAGGAAACAAACAAATCGATATGAGAGTCAAATATGAATTCAATACTTAGCTTCTCAATGAAAAATAACAAGAAAAAAAAACAATTTTTATAAATCTTTTATAATACAATCAAAATACACAACAATTATATGATGAAGAACATTGAGTGGATAAGAATGAAACTGATTATGTTTTCAAACAATTCGATTCATTTTAGTATTGGATGTCAAATATATTCTTAGTATAAATAATGTATTGTGCTGATGACTTCTTAATTTACAGATCATGAGCAAGAAATTGAATATATATGAAAAAAAATTTTGTTTTTAAAATAAAATCGAATCGATCTTAATGATCATATTCATTCTACAATGAAAATAATTTTATAGAGGTAAATCATTAAATGTATAGAATTGTTAATCATTAATCCTTCAATACTGGAAATGTTCACTGATGTGGACATTGCAGCTTGTCTGTAAAAGACATGACATACAAAATCAATATGTTTGGAAAAATGGAAGTTTGCTTAGAAGTGTTTTCTGTTTGTACACAAAATCCATCTTGAAGATGTATTGTCTGATATACATTGCCGAGTATGTTTACAAATGAATCAAATGCATTTCATAAGTTTCACAATAGTTTGATAGATAGGAGATGCCAAACTATTGAATGGAGTCTATAGTGACCATCGGAAGACAAAAAAAAGAATAATGATATATAATGCATTTATATCTAAAGTATATATATATATATATATCGTTAAAAATATTCTTTCATATCTTTTATCATATTAACTAAATAAAAACAAATCGGTAGAGATGTGCGGGACTGAGATCACAAGAAAAAAAATGTCTCGATCGGAACTAAAGATTATAGTTAAATAGTCTATAATTTTTAAGTGTATAATCTCATAAATCATATTAATTAGAACATAGCTCCAGAAAGATAATCCAAAAAAGTGCTAACTGTTGCCTACATAAATCAAAGAAAAATGGATGTAGAAGAATTCTTTTCGATGTAATACGAATAAAATGGAGACTCGAAAAAACTGAAATCATCAGAGCCGAGACTAATACTCTATTTATGTGTGTTTATTTCATCAGAAACTCTTCTGCAACTACTATTTGAGGGTAATGGATTAAAATATGTGATTTTATTCACATTATAGCATGTGAAATAAAAAATTTCAAAAAAGAACAGTTGTAGATAATTGTATTGCAAATTATGAATATGAAACATCAGTGTTTACAGATAATTTAATGAAAAGAATAATAAGGAATATTTTTCTTATTTTTGATTTTTGAACAAATAATTATAGATAATAATAAGATAAAACTTATCTTTATTTCATATTTCTTAGATAGATATAATTCATGATGATTGTAATCGATGGATAAATGAAATGAAGATCAAAGATGAAATGATATTGTTTTTTTAAATTAAAAAAAAAATTTAATTAAACAAACAAATAAAAAACAAAACAGTTAATACAATGCTCGATTAATAAATCTATATAATCAGCTTCGTTCAAATGATTTTATACAAACTCACATCAATATATCGGCTAGCTATAAATTCAAATTTATTTTGAACTCATATTTTAAGAAAAGAGTATTACTTTCTCTAATTAGTTAACATAATACATGAATTGTTCTTAAAGGAAGTGGCGCTTATACCCCCTGCAGATTTTTTTTTCGCACAAATATGTTTTAGTTGTGCGTAGTATGAAGATATAAAATCATCCAATCACACCTTGGACATTTTTAGTCTTAGCAAAAAAAATCAATATTTTAGAGAACGGTTATTTATATAGGAAAGTACTAGAAAATAGGGAGTATTTAGAGGTTTCTATAGTCGAAAGTTGATTTTTATGTAAAATGAGTATGATATTCAGAATCAGCATAAAAAATTACACTAGACAGTCTATTTTTCATTGTAAAATATTTTCCATGAAAATTTGAACCGTAGGGGATCAGGGGAAAAAATCTCATGGATAAAAGATTGAGGGGAAATAGGAGGGTCAGATTTCCATGGAAAATATTTTACAATAAAAAATAGACTATCTAGTGTAATTTTTTATGCTGATTCTGAATATCATACTCATTTTACATAAAAGTCAACTTTCGACTACAGAAACCTCTAAATACTCCCTTTTTTCTAGTACTTTCCTATATAAACGACGGTTCTCTAAAATATTGATTTTTTTTTGCTAAGACTAAAAATATCCAAGGTCTGATTGGGTGATTTTACATCTTTATACTATCCACAATCAAAAAATATTGAAATGAAAAGAAACCTTGCGGAGATATAGCCTATGGAAAAAGCGCCACTTCCTTTGATTTGTTTTTAAACACTATCTAAATATTGCCATAAGCAATATGTATATACTCAATCGTATGATGCCATCAAATAAAATTGTTTATTTTACGTCACTTTCAAAAATTTAAATTTATACAAACACATTACTATTGTTTTAACCAATATAAGATGTGATTGTTTATGGTATTTCAATGAAATAGAAAGAATTTATTATATCAAATTCTTCTATTTATTACTACTCACTTTTTTACAAGCCATAAAAATCGGACAATAAACATTAAAACATGATTAGTAAATATTGCAATGATAAATCTCACAAAAAATGAATAGTACTGGGTGCCCTAGAAGTCCACAGTGACCAAAAAACAAATACAAATATCTATTAAACAATTCATCTATGAATATATGTAAAAAGAAACAAAGAGTCAATATTATCTAATATATCTGATTAGATATTGATTGTTATACATTCTCTCTATAAATATTTTCATATTCTTATACAAAAAAATTTTATAAATTTAACTAAAATTCTACTTGGTCACGTTTAGAACAAGAGGTCACGATAGAGTAATCTGAATTCAATCCATGGGCTGAAAATTTTTTGAATAGAAAACCATGGACTAGACTGAACTGATTCGATATCAGGATAGACGTCCATAGACAGAATCTTGAATAAAATATATATATAATTTTCAAAAGATGTTGCATACTTCCTCTAAATTTTTTTTCGAAAATACCATATAATTCGAGAGCTGGAGCACTTCTAACGCGTTTGTCACGATCTGTAGAGAAGGAGATGGATACGAATTTCTACCTCTATATTTCAACATTCTCTTTAGATTGTGTTTCAAAAAATTAGAAAACAATAGTAAATTCGAGAGAATTGAAGGTTTTCCTAGTTGTCACATATGTTAACAAACATTTGTTTATATATCAACTGCTCGTGCTCGAAATATGATTGCGTGTTCAAAATTTATCTCATACAATTAGATGAGTGATTCATGGGCGAGCCATTTTTTAAGAAAAAAAATCATATGTTGGGTTGTATCAAAGGTCAACAACTCATAGACCGAAGAAAGTTAAACCAGTCCAGTTGATTGAGACCTCTCTTGTGTACACTCATACAGTGTAAAACAACAGTATAAATACTAACGAGTTCAATAGACAAGCTTAATGAATTCTTTATTGATATTATTAACATCGGCTTATGTACGTTGACATTAACTACTATATCGATTGTATTTTTTCGTTTGTATCACATACATGATCATCAACATCAAAACAATTTTGAAATACTTTTAAACAGTAAAAATTTCGATAATCTCATATCTGCCTTGAAGAATCACAATTATTGAAAGAATAAGAAATAAAAAAAAAACCTCTATCAAGGCAGCTAATATTTGACCAAAAGAAAAAAAGCTATGTCAGTATTATGCATTATGAAATAAATATTTGATAAAAGTATGGCGCCATTGATTTTGATAAATGGAAAAAAAAACAAATTAAAAAACAAGTCGGTAGAAGTACTTTTCATGTGCTCAGTTCGATCGGTCCTCGAAAAATAAAACTGATTCAAATTTTATTTCTATGAAATCTAAAAATGCCCATATCTACAGTAGCGGCTGTGCGATTGTCTCAAGATGAAAGCAGGTCAACATACATTTGTCAGTTCTCACAGTGTTCGACAAACAATAATAACTATGAATCAATTGTCGATTGCTTCGATTATAGTCTTTTACATATGTTATTCGGTACATTTTCAAATAAAAATGTTTCTCAAGAATAACCTCTAGTTTATTACTATCGATTTCTGATGCTATGGTATTACAAAACTAATCTTTTTATTTGATCTAAACTTTCACGAGTATAAATTCGTCCGTATACATAGTTGTATTTGAACACATGTATTAATTAAAAATTAAAAGAAAACAATAAAACTCATTGACTTTGAAGTTATCTTATATATTAGATTGTTATCAACAAAAAATAAATCAATTCAACAAATGGATAAAAATAGAGATGCAATGATGATGATTAAATATGTATCTATACAGCGATGCAGAATACCATCAATGATATGGTATATTAATGATGGGATAGATAGATGGTGCATTTCCTTCATTGTATGTCTAGATAGAAGAATTATTCTTGCTTTTTTGAAATATGTAAAGATGTTCAGTTAACTTTAATATTTAAATTCACTTTTTTTTTGTATTATCTCAGCTGTATATTCAAAAAGTTTTAGAAGATCTAGTATATAAACGAAATTGGTAATGATAAAAAAAAACCGTATATAGGCTCTCTCAAGCAAAACAAGACAATATTCACCTTCTATTTCACTTTAATTCTTTACAAAAGTTATTTTTCTCAATAGGTTCCTTTACTATAGATATATTTTAAAATGTTACCTCTTTCAAGTGACTATTAATTGGAAAGTAATTAACGAATATTTCTCTAACCATAACAAAAAAAAATCTTAAAACATCAAGATATATTCTATAGCATGAACTGCAGCTGTGGCGAAATTTTCACCAAGATCGAATTATAAAAAGCTTCCACTGAAAAATCGGTAATCCTGTCAAGACCCAAAACAAAGATTTTTGTCATATCATCATCTAGAGATTCTGAAAAAGGCATCATATTGCTAACGAAAAGCAAATTGTTTTTTTTTTTGAAACACCAGAACATGTTCAAAAAAATTTTCTACAAAGATCTTGTAATCTCAGGTGTTGTCTACAGAATGTACTATTTAGTTTTAAAAAGCGTTGCTTCAATTCGGAGTCTTTTTAAACTAAAATATACGAAACGAAAGTCGATGTCGTTTTTGTGGCATGTTGCTAATATCAGGTTTTTACTGATAAGTTCCTTGAATAAAGATCTCTAACTCTGATTTTCTCATGATATCTAGAATAACTTAATATATATGTAACACAGAAAAATTAGTTCTAGGAAAGTTCATTATCTCAACATACACATGTTTTAATTTTTCGAAGTTACATCGGCTAGCAAATGATTAGATCCATATGATCTTAATTGAAGTAGATATTATACATTGTTTATAACTCGTGATTGATTTATAGTTTGTAAAAATTTTCTTGTTGATAAAACAATTTAACTCTTTGGTTACCGACGACACATATATGCGTCATGAGCTTTATCATTGTGTGAAACAGACGCAATCGTTTATAATGCATGTTTTTTATATACATTCACATAAAAGTAAATGTCAGGCAGTAGGAGCTGTTATATCATCATTTTGTTATAGCACACGCTAGAATTATATCATAAATAGTTACAACAAATTTTCTCAAAAAATTGTTTTTTTTCCTTTCTCATGTCAGTAACCAAAGGATTGCTTCTCTTTTCGAATAAATCATAGAGTTCAAAAAGAAAAATAGATGATTATTATTAAACCCAATGGTATATTTAATCAGGAAAAAATCGTATTTTTTTTAAAAATACACGATTGAGATGATATAAAATTTTGAATTTAGATGTTCGAGCTAATCAGCAAGTACTATATTTTCATTATTACTGAAATATAGTTTTTTTTTCTTATGATACTAAGATAATTTCATTTTGTATTTACTAAATAAAACTGATGAGATTTTTTTTGTGTTATCAATTTAAGATTGATCTATCTAGTTTGTCGATCATTACTATCCAATTTAGAAATAAAAAGATTTTCTAATGAAATAATTTCATATGATCATGTCTATCTATGAAAATAAAAAGTTTATTATATTAAAAAAAAAAATAACTTAAAACAATAAACTAATTATTGTTTGTCTTTTCATTTGAACATATATATGTTGTATTTTATGAGAGAAAAGCAATAATTGATTTTTTTTTCGTAGATTTCACATTTTAATAAAAAAATTTTCTAAAACTATAACTCGAAATTTCATTCAAGAAAATCATAACATATATAATTTAATATCAAATAATAATTTATTGTTATCTATTATCTGACAAAACTTCAAACAATGATTCGTTTCATGATACGATACTTACATATATATTCAAATATTAATATTAAATATATTTAACAAAAAGTAATTTACATAAAATTTCATATGATATCTTTTAAATGTTTATTCACCGAATAAGTGATTTTTCAATGTTTCTAATAATTCAATGGCAATTCATTGACTTACGAGGAAGTCCTCTAATTGATAAATCAATTTTGAATCGAGACCATGTGAATTATGCAGACATAAACGAGCCATGAATACACTGTCATATGCCTTATGAATAAGGACTCTTCATTGTTAGTTAGTACTTTCATTAAATCCAACACTTGAAAGTCCTAGCAGAAAAACTCGCACTACGATTATTCTTTCTATGTAAAATTCTCCTGATAATAATGATTATTTTTCATTTCAAAGGTAGTGAGAGCATGGGCCATGTGCCTCTAACATCACTGAGCACGATCAGTTTTCGATCACTTCAGTTGGGAAAATCAGTTCTGATACATACTGGAAAGTTTATTTTGCGCTTTTCTCAAAATCAATTTTTACACAAAAATAAAACGAAGGTTTTTTCCCGCACGGTGCATCCAATAAAGCTCAATTTTTTTTTATGAATACTTTGGTCAAATTGAGGTACGTATTTTTTTTTCTCGAAAATGTTGTTCTTATGAAATTCAGTAGTCTTTTAACAAATTAGTACTATTAAAAAAAAAATACGTTTTGTTTTTGACGGTGTTTTTCAGTATTTTGATTCTCGTGAGCTGTAAGAACAATATTTTTGGAAAAAAAAACAGGCATCTCGATTTAATCCTAAATTTTTATACAAATAATTGCAGTCCGAAAAGAAAAATGAAGTATAGTTTTATAGGTAGGAAAACTTCTGATCATTTTTGGCCTTTACGACTCTCATACCTTTCTCGAGGAGATAACTGGAAATTTTGAGTCTATGATAACTTTTGCTCTAGTTATCGAGATCTATCGGTCTTGAAAGTTTCATAAATTTTCGTCGAGCCGTTGTCGAAAAACACTGGAAAAGGTGGTTTTCTTCATTCAAGTAGGTTTTCTGTGACACACGCTATCATTGTAATTGTATCTTAAGATAGGAATAGCGACAAGATCTGAAACATTCACAATAAACTATTCTCGATAAGATTTGTTTCTATATAAAGTTTTAAGTCGAAATTCGAAAAGTAATTTTTCTATTATCACAATATTGATTTAAAAACTACTATAAAACTGTAGTATCTGCACAACAATAAGCTAAAGATCTGAGCTCTTTTCAAGATATTTATAGCTCATTTGCGTCTACATAATACACATAGTCCAAACTCGAAAGCAATTTTATCAGTTGACGAACTTCACTTGTTCGAAGCATCTTTAGAATAAAAAAAAAATGCATTGAAATCATTACATAAAAATATTGTCTTTATGAAGAGAAAAAAAGCAGAAATCATTTTTCTGAATATTATCTAAGTTATTCTGTGCGAACTTCCACATCTTGAAAAAAAAAAACAAATCCGTCCTTGATGATAATAATAATAATAATAATAATAGCAATGATTTATTTTAAAACGCAATATCATCATGAGAATACTTCATAGGAAAAACATTGAGAAAAAAAATCAATCATCTGATCTAATTCTCACACTCACGCATTCTCTCATGGTATTCAATAATAAAATTTAACAAAAAAAACAGAAATCTGCAAAGAATAAATAGCCTGTCTTTCATATCATTAGCTTCATTAACATCGGCGAATAACATAGAAATGCTTGTTAGTGTACTTATCTGTATTTTCGTTGGTAAGTTTATTATTTTACTTAGAAATATTCTTTTATTAATTCGATTCTTAAATAATAAAAAAAAGGTTTTGCAAGTTCTCAACCTTGGACTCAAAACAGTTGTGGCCGACGTCCATTAATAGCTCCTGAGGATGATAAAATTGTTGGTGGTGTACAATCTCTACGTGGTGATTGGCCATGGTCGGTAAGTGTTCATTGTCTTTTTAGTCTTCTTATGGATTAATAATTTATTAATATTAAAAGTGTTCTATGCGTTCCGGTTCCTCAAAAAGTCACATTTGCGGTGGCACACTTATAAATGGTCAATGGATTGTAACTGCAGCACATTGTGTGTAAGTACAAAACATGATGAATAAATTCTAATCATTAATTATGTTTAATTGAAAATGATATAGAAGCAATGGTGCTTCTCCAAGTACATACAGATGGCATTGCGGTCTACATGATCGAAACAGTCACGTAAGAAAATAATACAGAACTATATAGTTAATAAAATTGAATTTATAGGATTCTTGGACTCAAGAATTTACATCAATCCGATATGTTGTACATCCACAATATGATTCAAGGAATATTCGAAATGACATCGCTGTGTTTAAAATTAGTGTTAGTAGTTTCTTTTTCTTTTTTTTTATCAATGATATGTTGAAAGGGAAAGAAAATTCTTTAGAATACGGATATAACATTTACTGACTACATCCTGCCAGCTTGCTTTCCTGCTGCAACTGATACTTATGAAGGTCGCATGTCGATGGCTATGGGATGGGGTACATTGTTTTCCGGCGGAAGTCTTGCTGCTCAACATATGGAAGTTGGACTCCTAGTTTTGCCTGATGCTACTTGTACAAGGGAATTTGGTGCTACCACGGTCAATACAGTAACTCAAATTTGTGCTGGTGAAAGAGGTGATAACAAAGATACATGTCAAGGTGATTCAGGTGGCCCATTAGTTGTTAAACATGATGATGATGGACTGTGGCGTTTGATAGGTTTGACATCATGGGTAAGCTTTGTTTTTTTTTTCATTTATGACGAAATAACATTCATTCGTTAAATATAGGGTTATGGATGTGGTGATATTGGTGTTTATACTCGTGCTTCAGCGTTTCGCAACTGGGTTCTGCAACAAGTTTTAACATTGCCAAGCGGTGCCGACGACTAAGATGCTGGTCGCGAAATTTGTTTAACTGAAATTGAAACATTTAATAAATGATTGCGTAAAGCATATATTTTGTGAAAGTGATCATTCACAATGAATATATATTTCAAAAAATCAATGTTGTTCATAGCTCCTTGTTGATGTGGAAATCCGTTGGAAAAAAATCTCTTTGTCTAAAGAAAATATAAAGCAAATATTTTAATCATTACATTCATAAACTAGAGAAATAACGAGTTTGATGATCAGATATTCGATTAATTGACTATTATAGACGAAAAAAAAAGACATGAATTTGGTACATTTTGTTTGATGTTCTTTTAACAGTGTTGTTCTACTTTTAGTAGAATGAATGAATATTTAGAAATATTTGAAATAACTTACTTATTCAAAGATTCGTTACTAATAATTTGTTTCATACAATTTAACTAAAAATATAAATATGTTTTATTAACATAATAATGTTGCTAATGATTTATTTTTTGATAAATACATAGATTCTATTTTTTTGACTGAAATAAAAATTTGAGCTCTTCTAAATGCCGAAGTAGTACACATGGAGAAGATACATCATTTAAATCTATATGTCAATTTTGTTTTGCAATATGTTAAAAATTTAAAAATGGAAAAAAAAGAATGACAAAGTAAAGTATGAAATGAATAAGAATACAAATGATTATCGATAAATATTGCTTATCTATTTATATTTTCTATTGCTAATATAATACTCGTGTCGAACAATGTTAAAATTAGTGCTAGTTTTTCATTTCAATAGTAACACCAGCAACTAATAGTAAATAACAAATATAATCAATGACGATATATATTATGTAAAAACTGAAAATTTAGGATGAGATTGTGCATCTTCTTCTGCCTTGTGTGTCTGGTCTCGAGCGGTAAGATGATATAAAAATTTAAGTTTCGTTCTGTCCTGTATTCATTGCTATTTCAAACGAATGATTTTGTATGAAAACAATTTTGACATATGACAATGACTTTTATATTAATACTATTTCGATGAATTCAAAAAGAATTTTTTTTTTCTAGTTTTATTAAACCAATAATAAAATATAATTTATTGATGTAAGATTGTAAGTCTACTCTGACAACGAATATTACCAAATTTGTTTGTATTTAACAAGAGTTTTTTTTTCTTAAACAATTTCCTATGTTTTTCTCAATAACTATCGCTAACGATATGTAATATACTGAAAACTTGCACTCAACATTAAATTGATACAATCCTTTTGTTTTGTATTTGAAACGTATAACTTTCAACATTATTAAACGGAAAAGAAACATGATCTAAAAGGAATGTTGAAATATGTGGGTGTAAAAATTGGATTCGCTCAACATACTTAGACAGACGTTGTTGACATACGATCAAAGACTGTATATCAATAATATCTTGTTCTATAATATGAACTACCTATTTGTTGCATTTCTGGACGATTAAGTAAAAGGATGATGAAAGAATGTGCCTCAAAATACACAGTAGAAAGCAATCTCTCTATGATTAGCAACAGCAGCTGCATAGTGTTTCACATCATAATCCTAGAAGGATTGCGCTAACTGCTTTCTTTCTATTCATTAAGATATTGATTCATATTCTAAGATCATGTCACTATGTTATACAGAAATGGTTCGAGCTATCTCTCAGAAAATAAACATTAACAACCAGTCGTATATAAATGAGATGATAATTGATATTCATTTTAAAGATACATGATAGTTGTTATATTAAGTTTTCTATTTAATATCGAAGAAGAAAGAAGAAGAGCATTTCAGTATCTCATCGTTTGTTCAATCATAGACTTATTGAATTCATTTGAATAGGAATTGTCATTTCTTTGAAATAATAAAAACTAAAACCATGGAATTTAAGTAAATACTCTTTCTTTAAAATGATTTGGAATAAAACGTCTATTATTAATTTTTTCTTTTAATTCAATACATCGAACGAACTAAAAATCCACACCTTAAGTAATAACTTGTATATAAATGAATTGTAAGTTTTTCGTACGCTTGAAACTTTATCAGTATTTATCTAATAACTTTTGTTGTCATTAACTGATTCGGATAGTTGTCTTTATAATGGTACTATTTTCTAAGTACTCCATAACCACGCCAAATGCCAGTTCGGACTGGAACGGACTTGTGAGTCTCATTCTGTGAAAAAATCATATTTTATAGAGTGATATGCTTAGTAAAGAATTATATATATAATGAATAGCCCATTTAGTATAGTTTCAAATGGACTGTCGAATTATAGATCTTTTGTATTTCTCTCTTTCTCTTTTTATGCATATTCACTCTAAATACTTAATTAGAGGTGCTTGATCATTTTCATGTAGAAATACATTATTTTTCAAATATCTCCCTGTGACTACAAGTGGAAGAAATCGAAAGATATTTAAAAAGAAAGACCATTGAATAGAAAACAATTTGATAAGAAAACTTCGTCTGAACGACTTTCCTGTTCGTTGGAAAAAAAACGATCTGTTTTGAAAAATTTAAATTTCGTTCACTTTGTAAAAAGACATTTCGCAAATTTCATCGCAGTAACTCTTGAACAATTCATCTATTTTCGCTCAAATTTTTACTGTAGATATAGTACGTAGAGTTGTATAACTAGAAAAAAAACTCAACCGTCTATCTCTTGTCATACTCGAGGAATTTACATTATATGATAAAACTTATAAGGATCATTTTTATGTAATGTTTCAAATAAAAGTGAGCCGAAATAGGCGATATTTATACTACTGGATTTGCTTCATCCCGAAAACTTATTCTACTTTTATTTCAGAAAAGAATACCAGTGATTGTTGTTGAAATAACTTTTGATAGAAACAATAAAGAGAGCTGAGATTTTCACCATTGGAAAGAGTTGAAATCTGATTGGTCAGCAATTAAATAATTAGGTGAGTTCTTAGCGAAGATTTTGACGTGCATCATAGACTATCATTAGAGGAAAGTCTTCTCTTGCAATCTATGTAAACTCTAATTTCGTAGCCGATTACGTTCAAGAGTTACAATGGCTTTTCTGAGACTTACTGATTTTAGTAAATTGACTTTCGAGTGCTTCAAAAGAATTCCAGATCTGAGTAATTCATCACACTGATTTGAATGGTAATGATTGTTTTTGAGTTGCAAAGCAACTTAAGAGTAGTATTTTAATATTTTTGAGGTTTTCGAAAATTGCTCCCTTTTCATTATACAAATCGAAGTATTGAAAATGTACAAACTATGGTCTCAGATTGCTTCGAAACTGAAAGAAACAATATCACCATTCGACCCAACGTAATGAATTACTTCTATCTAGAGCCCTTTTGGAACTTTCCAAGGTTAATTTGCTGAAATCGGTAAGCCTCACAAAAGCCATTGTAACTCTTGAACAGAAGCATCTATCAAGTGGAGATTTATATAGATTGAAAGAGAAGACTTTTCTCTATTAATTTGGCTATAATAAACGTCGAAATCTAATGGAAAATGGCCATAGAATTTCGTTTTCAAAACTTTGGCTACGAATTCATCTAATTGGTCAATTGTTGATTAATCAGATTTTGACTTATTTCGGTGTTCTCTCTTGAAATGTGAAAATCTCATCTCTCTTCATTGTTCCTATCAAAAGTTATTCAAATAAACAATCATCGGCATTCTTTTCTGAAATGGATAATAGATTGAGTTCAAATGGACTACCACAGATGGTAGACCGGTATTTTTAACGTAATATTTCAAGCACCAGATAGTCAATATGAGTTGTATTTCATATATTATTCAACTCGTTCTATTTCCGAAAGTTATTCTACATTTAGTAGAAATATCGATTCTAATTTACAAAATCGTTTTACCATGTAAAATTCAAGTAAGTTATAATTGACTTTCATCTATATATATATAATGTTCAGTATATGCGTGTCTGTGCCTGGTCAAAGGTTAGATAAGACTATAAGCACTATTATATATGAGGATACCCATACGTCCTCAAGAGCTATTATATGGAGACACCCATAGGTCTTCAAGGGCTATAAGGGAGTAGGGAACAAGGGGATAAGGATATAAGGGTAAAGGTGATAAGAGGCTAAGGTTACAGAGACATAAGGGATAAAACTAAAAGAGTATCAGGAGACAAGGGTATAGGGTATAAGTAGATAAGGCTGCATGGGATATAAGAGATAAGGAAATAACGGAATAAGGCTTTAAGAGACAATATCACAAGAGTATAAGGCTACAAAGATGTAAGATTGTGAGGGTATAAGGCTATAAGGTCTCTATATATATAATGCGAACTGGCTGATTGTCTATTACCCAATCAACGCTGAAGGACAGATGTGAAACTTTACAGGAAGAAAGCATCCGTGCAGTGTGCACGGGCTCTCGCTAGTATTAAATAATGTTTTGTATATTATGCTTATACTAAAGTCAAACATATATCAGTTAATATGCAGTCAAGTATTATAAAACTTTTGCTGTGCACCATAGGCATAGACTATAATAAAATGTACTACTCATTAATTGAAAATATTATAACGTAAAAAAACATTATTTTTTTTTCGTTCATTAGAGAATAGATGAAAGTATAATAAAATCATTGTCTGCTTTTTGTATCATAAGAACAAAAATCAAGTACACATTCTGTTAATATGTAATGATGAAAAACACCAGTAGATTCGTCTCGATTTCATATAATGAATAGGTTTTCTTTTTCGTTTTCAAATGTAACAAAAATGTTTTTCGATGTTAAACGAAAACAGATTAAATTTTTTTATACATGAATTGGTGTTTTTTTTCTTTTTTCATAATATATAGCATCCATCTAGCTGCTTTTCTCTGAAATAATTCACTGCTGCCGATCATGTTCATCATAATAATCATGAAAGAAAAAAAAAAAAAAAAAAAAAGAAAAAGAAATAGAAGACAAAAGTAAAGTTGAGGAGGCCGACGGCATTTACACTTTCGATCAGGATAGACAAAAGAAAAAGAGAGAAAAAGAGAAAAGAAGAAGAGCAAGAATGAGTACAGATAATGAGAGAGAGATAAACGACACGACGTGCAGCTGCTTTTGGCTGTTGCGCATGTATGTGTGATTTATTCTACACGTTTAATCATTGTTATTCATTTTCGGCAAGTCTAAAATAAATAAAAAAAAAACATATGCGAAAATAATAAGAATAAAAATATATAAAATAAAAAACAGATAAATGTTTTAATATCCATCACCAACAGAAAAAGCAAAAAGAAAAAAAAAGCACAAAGCGCAGTCTTGGCAGTTAGTTATGAATGATATTGTATGGCTGTATCTCTCTACTTTTTCTAATCATTCATGTTCATTTGATGAATGTGTAGGTTCTGCTGGGTATTCGTCTTGATCAGTGCCATCATCTGCTTTTTCTCCTCGTTTACCTGGCGTTGTTCCATTATTTCCAGTATTTATCATATTTGTCGTAGTCATTTGTGTTGTTGATATTTGTGGTGCCATCGTAGTACCAGCAGTCGTAGCCGTAGTTAAACCAGCTGTAGCAGTAGCTGCTGTTGATGATGACGCTGCATTAGCCGCTTTTTGTTTGAGCATAGTCCAATCAAATGTATAATCATATTGATGATTTAATGTACGAAACAAAATGCGAAATAATTGACGTAAATACATATAATCAGGTGCTTCTTCAAAACGAAGACCACGACAATAATTTAAATACATAGCAAATTCAGCTGGAAATCCCTATTAGAAATAACACAAAAAAAAAGAAAAAATTTTTTTTTTCTTCTAAAAAAAAACTTTTTATACTTTGCAAAGTATTTCAACAGGTGTAGACATTTTTTTTTCAGATATTTTTTCATATTTTTGTTTTTTAGTTGCTGCTTTAAGACCTTGCCATGGTAATGAACCACGATTAAAATACATTAAAACATAACCTAATGATTCCATATCATCACGACGACTAGATAATTAAATATATGAAATTCAAAAAAAAAAAAAAATATTTTTCAATCTTAAATTGTTTTTTATCTAACCTTTGTTCAATACCAAGATGAGCATTAATTGATGCATAACGAGCTGTACCTGTTAAATTTTTATCTTCTCGATAGGGAATGTGTTGTCGTGTTCGATTGTCACGATATTTTTTTGCTAATCCAAAATCAATCAAAAATACCTTAAGAATAAAAAATAAAACCAATTATTATTATTATTATTATTATTATTAATATTGAAATTTTAATCAACAAACTTTATTACAATGACGACCAATGCCCATTAGAAAATTATCCGGTTTAATACTAAAACAAAAAAACTTAATGCTTAAAAAAGAAAAATATTTCAATTATAATTTTACTCTCGATGAATAAAATTTTTGTTATGCACAAATTCAATACGACCAATCATCTAAAAAAAAATATTAACAAAAAAAGAATTGTTTTTTTTTTCTTTTTTGTAAAATTGAAATATACTTGATCAGCAAGCATAAGAACAGTTTTCATAGTAAATCGTCGTGAACAAAAATTAAAGAGATCCTCAAGTGATGGTCCAAGTAAATCCATTACAAGAACATTATAATCTTTTTCTTGAGCATAATATCGTATATGTGGTATACCAATACCACCTTGTAAAATTTTATATAATTTTGATTCATATAATAATTGAGGATGACGAGCTTTAACTGACTCAAGTTTAATAGCAACTTCTTCACCATTTGTTATATTTATGCCCAAATAAATATCGCCAAATGAACCTGAACCAATTTTACGTACTAAACGATATTTTCCACCAATTAAAAATTCATTTTTAGTTGAAAGATGTATTGATGAGCCTGTTCCTGGCGCATTATTTGTATCCATCGTTGGAAGATATTGGATTTTATCAACTTCGTACGATGGAAATGGAAACAAAAAATAGGAGACACAAAGGATCTAAATATTACAAACAAGAAAAAAAAATTCTTTTTTTTTTTAAATCAAATGACCATGAAAAAATCTATATAGAAAACATACACAAAATTTCAATTGATGATTTTAGCCATGTCTCCGGTCGATGTCCTTCGATTAGATGAAAAACATAAAATGAACTACATCTTCAAGCATTTATGCAAAGAGAAAAATATTTACAAACAATTAGCGACATCTGTACACACAAGAAAAAAAAACTTAATAAATTGTGATAAAATAAGCATTATTAAGAGTTAGTTATTTTCAATCCTATCATCATTGAATCTTTTAAGAACATTAATAGATTCCTTATTCGTTTCCAAATTAATGATTGCAATGCTCAGTTTCAGTGATTTTCTTATTGAAAAATGATTGAATCTAAATATCGTATTCTTACATCCAAGATCTGAAGATTTCATCGAGTTTTTTTTAGTTAGTGTCGGTTCGTACACTTTCACCTGAATGATAAGTTCTAATGATAATCATCATTAAATAGCGATAATAATCTATGGCATACCAATCGATAAAAAAAAAAAACAATTCTTACAAAAGCTCCCTACACAAGATAATACGGATGCGTTAGAGTGCTTTTGACTGATGATAGCTTTTACTGAATTATTGATTTGGCATCAAGACATTTATTAGATAAAAGAGATATCTATTGATTTAATTAACCATGTTTCTGCATTGTTTATTATTGAATCAATATCCTTAATTCGAATAGAGTAAAGTTTTGTATTCTACAGATAATAGCTAAGAGTATAGATGCTTCACAGAAAATCTATTCGATTGATTTGTTCTAATTTAAGATTGAATCTCGATTCTAGAATTTAGTATGATGAATTTAATCGATGATTATTTATTTTATAACAATACATTGAAGATGTTTTAAATGTTCGTGATTACCTACAAATATCTCGTTTGCTAGAAATAACGATGATTTCTCGATTACATCGAAAGCTTTCTGAATATAGACAAATGCTTCATTAAATTGATCAAGATCTTCAAAATTATAAATTATATTGTGATATAGAGTAGCAAACTTTAGATGATCCTGTGATAATGAACTTATACTAATCTCAAGAGAATACATATAAATATCAATTGTTTTTTCCGATTGATCAAGTCTATTACAAAGAAATGCAATATTATTATACAGTGTAAGTAAATCAGTATGATTTCGAGGCATATTTTCAAGACATATTTGTAAATATTTTTCATAGTAATCGAGCGCTTTTTCATAGTGACCTGTACGTTCGCAGATAATACCTAATTAGTTATAGCGATTGGAAATATATTCTGGATTAGGTTTCTTGTCATTAGTAGGATTCATGTCAATGATTAAAGCACGTTCATAATTCGTTAGGATACAATAGGAAAAATAGTACCTATCCAAAAAAAGTTACTCTTTTTCTTCAATAAACTAAATCAAATCATCAATATCAGTCAAAAATGTTGTTTCCTAAATTTTCAACTTTTACATTTATTTCCATAGACACTGCTAATGTATCTGTAACTGAAAGTATCGTCTTCGCATACATATGTGCAACGGTAAAATCTGTACTAGTCAATAGAAATACGTTGAATGACAGTAAGCTATCTATACTATGTTGTAATTTTTCGAATTCTTCCCATTGCATTTCTTGACCATGATAGAGAAAATATTCGACGATGTAGAAATATATAAACAATGATTTTTAAGATTACATTCAAATTCATTGATGAATGCAAGTTCAAATGTATAATCATTGTAAAGTTCATGACAAAATTCAATCATTTCGACTTTGGATACAAATGTCAATTCAAATTCTAGTAAAAGTTCTTTGACTAATTGAACATACATAAAAGATGCATTTTATTTGTTTAATGATGTGTTGAACGTTGTTGTTTCGATTGTAGTTATACTCATGGTTTGAGAACTGATTAGTTGATTGTTTAAGCAATTCATCACAATACAATCAAAATGACCTTCCAAGGATCTCATTTTCGTCAACGTACATTGAATTTTTTTGTGATGATAATACTATTGTTCGAATTTATCTCGTATTGAACTTTCTTCGTATAAAATGTAAATGATAGATACTTAAGCAAACGGCTAAGCAGTGTATATGATTATTTCATAGTTCATAACGCTGTTGACATTCACAATAAGAATGAGTTTTGAATCAGTAGTAAATTCCGAGATAAAGTTGATGCAGTTGACTAATCATATTTGTAGAAGAGATTATTTTTTTACGTGATGATAAAATATGATAAGAACGTAGTTTGATCGAGACAGAATACTAATATGATGTTGAACAAGAGAAGTAGGAGCTAATTTATCTTCGAAACATTTCTAATATTTAACGAGCTAAGTGACATATCAGATGTAAGATTAGAATAAAGAGAAAATATTTTAAAAAATGGAATCGAGAAATATGTTTGGTATGATCTTCAATTAAATAACAACAAATACATCAGTATAATGAGCGCGAGAAAGATATAGAAAAGTTAGAAGAAATAAAAAAAGACGATAGTACAAGTGACGAACACACACTAACGTAAGGTCAACTACTTCGGGCAACCGTTCATTTCAACTTTAGTAATACCTAATCATTATGTTTTTATTTGCGAGTATTGATCATCTTTCAAAACTGATTGTAATTTTGATAAGATTCTGATTCATTCAACTATGTTAAGAAAATGAATTTAATCTAACCAAATCAGAAAAGTCAATTGTTTGCAGAATTGATTTTCTTTGATTATAATGAAAATAGAAATACTTATCAATTATATTCATAGTTATTTCAAACGAAAAATTAAAGTTTTTTTTTTTTTTTATAATAACCACTGTTCTAGGTTTATCTGTGATTACTCATGTGATGCGAATCAAACAAAAACCACCAGTAGATCATCGATATAATGTGCACTATACCGACAATTTTTTTTTGTAAGTGGTGTATTATATCGCAATGAGTGAATACCCATGGCCTCCGGTGTTCATCAAAACCGATGGTTCGAACAGTTCCCTCATTTTTTTTAATTTTACTATTAAGTTATTATTTTCAATCTTAAAAAAATCGATTGCAAGTCAAAAAAGTCCGTTTGTATGAATGCGTCAGAATAAGTTATGTCGGATGATGGCGTCACTAATTTTTGTATTGGTTAAGTCATCTAACGAATAGCTATTTTTGTGGCACCATTTTTAATTAAAAAAATCAAACTTGAAAACTAAGTGAATTCAGCAGGTGTGGTCGGTACCGGTGGCATCAGTGCGCTCACACTTAAAAGGGAACGCGATTTCGACTGTAATCTAACCATTTTGTAAGAGTTGAAAAATATTCATGTGGTGTAATACAGAAAAAAAAAGTTATGTAGGAGAACCGCGGTTAACTGCCGGTTTGAACGACATGGGTATTTTTGAAGTCTGTTAAAGCCGACAAAATTGAGTCAAATTCTGATGCACCTCGATACGTCTTAATGACCTGTACTAGCCACAGAGCCCAAATCAGCTCCGGTTATGAGATAAATTTTTCATTATATATGGCGCCGGAAAACCTTTTATTAGGTAAAATATGTTGTGAAACTGGCTTTTTTTCTCGATGAATTTGAATAGAAAACACTCTCTACAATCGCTTGTAGTTGTAACCGAAAGTCGTAAGCGCTACCGCGATATATCGGGGGTACCGGGAATATACGTACGACATGAGTATTTAACACTATTTATTTTTGGTTTATTAATTTATGAATAATTAAATGAAATCTTGAAATATATAGTGTATGAAAATAAAAACTTTTATTTCATTTTGTAATTCTAATATTTTAAATGTTCGTTGTTACTAAATGTGTAATTGTTGTAGTTTCCGTTGATGAATCTATGAATATATAAAGATTAATAAAACAAAAAAAAAAGAATTTTTATTTAAATATAAATAGTTACTTTTAATTAATGTTAATGATAATACAATACTAAGAATAATACCAATCAAAATTAATAATACAAGAAAAATAGTCAAAATAATTAATAATTTTCCATTTCTTGATGTTTTATTTATTGCTTCTAATCTGAATTATATATATTTTTAAATGAAAAAAAGAAAAATTAAATATAAATTACTTTTGACTAACTTCATTATGCAATGTTGGTTCAGGTGTTTTTAAATCAATACTACTAACAATTGAAGCAGACGACCATGAACTACATTCAGAATGTATCATTTGTTTAGGTGATAATGGTGTTATACGACTTCGTTGGATAGCTCGTTTTATAATCATATGAAATCTTGAATCAGCAATAATTTGTAATGGATTATTTTCTTGTAACATATTGAAAGTTGCTGATGAATTGTGAATTGAAATAATTCGATTATCATTTGATTGCATAGGATTCTATTTTTAAAATAAATAATTTATATAGAAATTATTCTATAAAAATTGTATACCATATTTTTCGATGATATCTATATAAAAGATTCTATGTGCAATTGTATGTATGCTTTGATAAAACATATATGACAATATTTATATTCATGTAAAGGGAAAAAAATTCTATTTTATTTTATTAATTTATTCATAGAATCATAAACAACAAAAAAAAAGAACAAATAGAAATGAAATGTCGATAACAAAAGAAAATGAAATGTAAAAAAAAAACGAGAAAAAAAAATTAATTGAAATTTGATCACCCGAATTCTGTTTTTTCTTATAACATGGTATCATTAGAACATGTTGAAAAAATTCATCTCAATTATGAATGAAATTTTTATAACTATTTTAAAATTTCATCAACGAATTGTTCTTATTTATCTAAACAAAATGACATAAGCCTTCGTTAAGCATAAAATAAAAATTATTATACAAATAATTTTAAAGAATTTATTTTAATGAGATTAACTGTATGTCAAGTTAAACTCCTTAAAATATTGAAAAAATAATTTTCAAAAATAATTTGAGAATTAATTTATATTTGATAATAGTTTTGTGATAGAAAAATAACGATACTTGAAACGCAGTGTTTTTCATTAGTTATTCTTTCAAATAAAAAAAAAAAAGAAAGGCTTCCTTGACTAGAACAAAAAAAAAGAGCTCGCGATACTCGTTCAAAGATTGAAAATTATACATGATTACCTTTTTTCTTGAGATTTATTCAATTGTTTATGAATATGTCTATTGTATTTGATGTAGAAATAAAGTTCGAGATTTTGAAGTCGAATCAAAAGGTTCAGGTCTAAGTTTCTTGCAAAATCAATGACTTGATACGAAAAACCAATCCAACAGACATACTCTACCAATAACTACCAATTATGACTTGATTATAATTAGAGACAAGCATTAGAGTCATTTTTAAGAATGATCGAAGTTTTTTTGATATTCATTGTACAAATTGGTGTATTTTGGAGGCTCAATTCACGTCTCCTCAGAACTTTACAAAGATCGAAGAAGTCGGAGTCAATATTGGCTCTGAGTTTTTCTTATGGGCATAGATCGTAAAGAGACATCAATCGAATTCTGTAAACATATTAGTTTGTATCAAAGATGGAAAATCTCGCCTCACCTCCCTTCCCCGCTGCTCACGCCTATGCTCAATTGGTCAGAGCTTTGGAGGAACGCGTTGTTACAGCATCCAGATGTTCGAAGGACTCTGAGAATGGAGCAAAAAGAGACAGAG